TGATTCTGTGATTTACGGAATACATGCAACCCGACTGATTTAGCACAACACATTCTGCACACATTTGAAATATCATGAAAATAGTGTCTTTAATATACAGTCTATATACTTACAATACGCGGTTTAAATTTGTTCATATACATTACAGGGATATTTATTTGCACCTGGTTTAAATAATAATAATCTGCCTTCAGCCTTTTACACAAAAGCCCAAAACAGCACAGAATTCCACAAAAACCATGCTTCGTTTTATAACGGAAATGTACTAAGCCAACGTTTTGGGCCTTTCTCTTCCCCCCCTCCCCCTTCCCCAAGTGTTACTTTTTTTACCTACCCGAAGCGAATCTAAAGAGCTAAGAACTAACAGGTATTTTTAATATAACGGAGAAGATTGTCCGAGTCGAAAGAATCCCTCTGCAGATTTCCACGCTGAAAACTGGGCTGTCACGCACGGAAACGGCGAAGTCTGACCGACTCCTGGACTGCTCAGGAGTTTAAGACATAACAAATGAAGAGTCGTTTATTGCTTGGTGTCAACGAGGGGTCTGCATTTCCCTACTGCCCCGCCGCCCCCCACACCACGAATAAGAAGGACGAAAGGACAATCCCTCCCTTCGATTACGATTCCACCCGTACCTTCTGGCTTGTACACGGGAACAAGTTAGGGAGCACCAAGGAGGAGCCAGGAGAGCTGGGCTAAGCCCCCCGTCCTTTCACACAGGGCTGGTGTTCGGCTTTTGAGGTCGGCAGGACTTGGCTGGCCGGCCCTGGAGGCAGGCGCCGCACCGCGCCGCACGCAGGCAGCTGGTGCCAGCACGCTTTCCTTAGCGGGGAGTCAATCAAGGACTCGGTTCGAGAAGAAAACATAGGAGAAAACTATGGGAAACTAGGAGAAAACTTCAAGTATTTATAGGCAGATGGGAAACACGGTGGGGTTGGAGGCAGCATCGCTATTTACGCTGCTTCTCTTGAAGCTGCTCTTGTGAAATAAAGCCCATTGAAACGGCAAGTTGAAACTCCTGTATTGGAAACCCCTCCCTGCGTACTACACAGTTATGTCAAACCCTCACTTCCAGCTGCAAAGAACACTTCAAAATACACTTTCCTTCTCATTTCAGGTGGACCAACTGTTTTCTAAGTAGGCAATTTTTGCGGCGCAGCAGGAGTAAGAATGCAAGTAACGCGGCGTAGGTGGATTTCCACAGAGCTTCGCTCAGCCAGCCAGGCAGCGGTACAAAGCACCTGCATGCCAGGCACAGCAAGTCCTTCAAGGAAACCAGCATTTCCCCTCAGGATTCCTCTCCATCCCTCCCCTGGCCAATTCCGCATCCACCTCCAGAAAAGCCCCCGTGCCAGCATCCAGCGGAAGGCAGCGTGGGCCCCTGCGGCGCCATGCCGACCGCTGCATACGCAGGGTGTGTTCCCTGGTGCAGGGCAACGACGGTTCCATACGGGGTGACACGGCAGGTTTTCCGCTACTGAAACCCCTGAGGGTAACGCACAACTCAGACACCGCTAACGAAGTAAGCACCGGAGGCCTGACGCCTACTTGATCTGAGGAAAGGATTCCAAGGGTAGCACTAGCCTGTTTTAGTAGGTCAACTCCGAGAAGTAAATTTGAGGCCTCCGAGAAGTAAATTTGAGGCCCACTCTGGCACGACGTGTGCTGTCTGCACTCAGCGTCCCCGTACGGGCCAGCGCCTGCTCTCGGGCCCTGAGGACAACCAACACGGCTTGCACCAACCCGGTTGGGCTCCACGACCCTCCAAAACCCAGCCGGTTTCCCCCACTGCCGACCTCTGAGCTGTGCTCGGCGGTCGTCTGGCATCCGCCATCGCGCAGGCAGG